TGAGGAGTCTCGAGCTGCATTCTGCCTGAATTTCGAGTGCTTGAAATAAGGCCTCGAGCACTCGAAAATAGAGCAGATTGCTCCATGCTTGTTTTGCTTCGCTCATACCTACTTTGGTAAAATGGCTATAACTTTGTGCTCTGAATTCCAAATGACAAACCATTTGAAGATTTAGAAAGCTGATTTAGAGCTATAAAAACTTTATGTTTTGGTGGAGATCCAATTCTCAAGTCTGGTTGGTCAAAATTGAAGATCAAGGCAGAAACTCATTGCTGTCAGGCAGTTCTAAGCACCTCTAATAAGAAGATCATAACTCTCTGCTCCGAACTCCGAATGACGAACCGCTTGAAGATTTGGAAAGCTGATTCAGAGCTCTAAATCTTTCATGTTATGATAGAAGTCCAGTTCTTGAGTTTGCTAGGTCAAAAATGGCAACAAAAGTCAGGTTCCACTGCTGCCAAGCTTCAGCATTGAGCAATTTGCATTCAAAATTTCAACAAAAACATCATTCTTGCTTCTTGTAAACCAATGAACCTGAAAATAAACAAAAATGCACAAATGAAGATAATATACATAATAAAATCAAATAATGGACTTAACTAATGCAATTTAGGGCGCTTGAATATGCAATATTCGGCGTTTATCAACAACCATACTCCAGAATATGCATTTGTATAAATTCATACATATATCAATATTAGGTATTCATTAAAAACCTAAATATCATGCTCCAATCATTTAAATTGCTAAAATAAATCATAGCGTTTAAATCCTCCAAAACAACCGACAAATTGATACAAATTAAATATCAATTAAATCCAAATTAAGTATAGTTAAATATAATTAATTCACCATACTTATAACACTATAAAAATATAGGATTATATATAATTGAATTATATATAAAAACTTTGCCAAGTTCCAGTCATATAAACTTAGCAAAAACAGTGCAACGTATAGCCATTATTTGAGTTGTTCATTACTCCTTTCCCTAAACCATTATTGTATTAAATGTTTTCAATATTTATTTAAGTCCCTAACATTTAATTACATCTCACAGTAGCTTTTAAACAGCCTTAGAAAACACTGTGCAGCCCAAACAGCCCTTAAAACTCATTTCAGTGCGTTTCAAGAAAAAGCAGGCTCAATTAAAACATTGAGCCTGCTCCATTTTTAGGTTAGAGCCGGCTCCTTTAGCATTGAGCCGGCTCCAAACTCGAATAGAGCCGGCTCCTTTGCCTATGAGCCGGCTCCTTTGTGTTTTGGAGCCTACTTTATCCCCTTTAGCAGCCTGTTGCCCGTTCCAGCTTCATCTTCTCCGACTCCGGTGATTACAGAGCCTCTGTGGTGTGTTTTAATTATTATTCTAGGTTCAATATTAGTCCTAAATAAGATTAAACCACTGAGATCCAATCCTAACATGCGTAGGAACATAAGTTTTAAAGCAACAATCACAACACCTCTGTTAACCAATTTTAAGCAAGCTGCGACGGATTAATTTGATGCAATTAAATACTGTTCTAAGCACCTGTTCTAGAGTTCAAACTTAGTCATAGATTAATTACTAGGCAACCATATAAATCGTTGATCTCAATTGAACAAGAAAAATAAACATGTCATAGGAGAAACCAACTAACAGAAACCTAAAGAATTTTGGTATAACCGTTTCATTCAACGAAGTTAATTATTAGTTTAAACATGCATAATAGATTGTTTAAGCATTAGTTTAATCCCTGGATTCTTCCTAAGCATGCACAGAACACGAATTAACGGAAAATAATAGAACAGAACTTGCTTTTAAGTTTAAAGTTGAAACACTAAATCCACATCTCTGAGTTTTAGTTTTCCTTGCTCTGCCTTCCTAAGCCCTCTCTGTAAATTACTCACTCTCTGTTTCTCTGCCCTCACAACCCTCTGTATCACTATATACGTGACTATGGTGAATAGGGTTTACAAAAACCCTTAGCAGATGTAAACATATGTATTTATAGGCTTAAGTTGAAACCCTAACCTTAATCCTAACCCACCTACAGGTCGGCTCAGACTAAAACACGATGAAATTAACAAAACCCTAATAATTTAAAACAGTTAAGTTGCCTTTAAAATAATTAAACCAATTACAAATAAATCAATTAAAAAAAATCAACAAAATTAAATAAAACAATTTAAGCAATATTAACAATTAAACAGGTAATAAATCCAGTCACAAAAATGCAGCAATTAATGTAAGCTAAATAAATCTAAGAATTCAACAATTTAATAAATCAAAGAAAACAAGTAAACCAAATAATTAATTCAAATAATACAAATAAGTCAAGTAAGTCAAATAATTCAAAAACAATTAAACAATTAAAAAGTCAATTAAAACATAAATTGAAATCGTGGGGACATAAATTAAATACCAGGACTATCATTTTGAAATTAGGGGTATTACATATGTTGAGAGTGTCGAACTCAGGGACTGTGGTGGTTTATCAAGTCTTCAATTAATACTATTTTAATTTAGAAAGATGATTTGATTTGTTGTGTTGCAATAACATAAATAGAAAATAAATAAAGTAAAAAAGAAACGATCAAGGGTAGAGGTATTTAGGGATTGACTTCACCGCGATTCTCCTATTATGGTCGACTATTCAACCTTGGGATTTCAGCAATTTATAAACCATATGAATTAAACTCAATAACATTCATTTAATTCGGATTTAAAGAAAGATGTTTTATGAATTTCAGTTAATAATAACCTATATTCGGTTTGCACGAATTATCTACATACCTATTTCTAACTAATTTTGCAGTATAACTCGTCTTCCTTAGGCAAAGACTATGAAAACATTCATTCACAAAAAATGTTTGAACACCATTACATGATCTCCATTCTTATATCCGGTAGGGCTTCGCCAAATACCGTCCAATAAGAATGGATTGAGAACAGTTCATGAACAATTATATCTAATACAAGGTAATAACTATTCAGAAATTATTAATTCATTAAAATACCAATTGAATTGGCTCAATGGCTTAAAATCATATAATCAAAGTATATAAATTGTTAAATTCCCAACAGATAAACAATCAAATCATAGTAATCGGATCGGGTTACGTCAATGCCATAAGAGAGGAACTAGCCACTCATGATGATGCTGTATATCATTTGTGTTGGCGTAGTCTTTATTGTAAAGGTCTGTACTTCTCTCTTGGGGACTTCCCTTTAAAACCCTAAAAGCCGCCATGAGAGAGAGATTAATGGATGATGAAATTGATGGATGGATCCCTTAATGTGTCTTCTCCTCTTGTTTTATAGTGGAGAACAAGTCTCAATCCCCTTTAGATTGGTTTTACAGCTTTTTGTAACAATTTGGCCAATAAGGAAACAAAGAGAAGTCAAAATATATAATTCCCGCATGTATTTTTAACCTCCAAGACGTTAGAGCTCGAGATCTGGAGTTAGGGCTCTAGTTTAACCTGTCAGCAACTTGTTATGATGTTGTAACGCGATTTTGACACATTTAGAGCGCGAATCTCGAGATGGCTATTAGAGACAAAACATCGGGCCTCGAGTCTTATTTATAGAATCACTGAGTTTACTCAATTTGGAGTTTCGAGTCAAAAGTTATGCTCAAAATACTGAAGCAAGTCCAGAGTTTTCAGTAATGCTCGAGCCCTGAGTGGTTGTGCTCGAGCTTTCTGAGTTGAGCTCGAGTTTTGAAGCCTAGGCTTGAGCTATGGGAGCAAAATTTGTCCGAAACGTCTTTTTATTGATGGTGCTCGATCATCTCTTTATGGTGCTCGATCCCAAGGTGTTGGGCTCGAGCTCTAGGGCTGTGGGCTCGAGCTCTAGGTGTTAGTGCTCGATCCTTGAGGCTTGGCACGAGGTCCTGGGAGCTTGGATCAACTTTTCAATTCTGACGCATCGTGTGCTCGAGCTTTTAGGCAAAGGCTCGATCACTCTTAAGTTGGGCTTGAGCTCTAAAGATCAGGGCTTGAGCGTTCTTACATTTGGAATTTCTTGTCTTTTTCTGCTAAGCTCGAGCCATAGAGCTGAGGCTTGAGCTTTTGAACTTGAAACTCTCCAAAATTCACCATTTTAACTCTCGGCTTGCCTTGATTGACCAGCAATAACTCGGTAAACTTCTTTATCATTCTTTTTATCATAAAAGCTCGGTTTTAACTGTTTCTTTGGAAAGTACCTAAAAACACGAAATACACATAAATGAGTCTAACAATTGATAGAAATGTCATTTTAGGTCTTAACATGCGTATATTTAAGGACTCGAATATGCAATATTCAGTGCTTATCACTACGTCAATTATATATGTAACGGAATCGGTTTAATTCGGTTCGGTTTTGAAAGGTCTGAAACTGGAACTGTACTGAAATTCAACGACTCCTCATTTCTGAAACCAGAACCGGAACTAAATCGTTGAGGAATCGAAATTGAAGCACTGGTTCTGTTCGGTTCTGACCGGTACTCCGATTCCATTGATGCTTTATGAACCTCTACCAAATGCAGCATAAGGTAGCATGAAATTGAAATTGACTCAAATTTCATGTAGCGGATTATAACTTACAAGAATTTAAAACCCAATTGAATTTCATGGGATTTGAAATCCCAGACTATAGCGTCCTCGAATCTCATAAAAATGGTGGAATTTGTAAATTTAGTTATAGATTTGTCATTTTACCAAATTGCCCTTCTTTTTAATAGTAAAACATAAGATTGTAATTATAATTAATAAGGATAAAATGGTAAACTAAATTCCTTTTATAATTAATTATATTTAGTTTATTACAAACTCATTAATGCAGTTCCAATTCCAGTTCCAATTCCAATCAACTTCCAAGCACATAGATGAAATTCCAAATTCCAAATTCCAAATTTGGAAAGAATTTTATTCCAAAGAAATCGCTTGTTTCCAATAATTCAATGACAAAAAAGAAAAAAAACCAAAACGTATTTAAAATTCCAAAATGTATATGTATTATATATATATAAGTATAATTTATTTTTATTCCGCCTCTTCTGTGCTGCTTCTTCGACCTCAAATCTTTTCTCCAGTTTTTACACTTCTCTCTCTATCTAAACCTCAGCAGCAGTTTCTTTCCGCCATTGACGAAAATCTGTTATTTGTTTCAGGTTTTTATTCTCGTTCGATCTACGCATTTAATTTTCACCTTGTTCTAGGGTTTTTTTTTTAATTCTTGTTCTAGGGTTTTTTTCTCTTTTCTTTTCTTTGCTTTTTTCTCTTTGGGAATTTGTATGGCGATCTTATTATCTATTTCAGGCGACAAGTTGTTTGGGTATTGTTCGTTGAGAGTTTTATCGAATTGGGCTCATGTACATGGTTCTGTTTACTGTGTGTTTCACTTTATAAATTATTGATTGACAGTTAAGCCTTTTTTTTTCGTTATTTAAATTTAGGGTAGATCAAAATTTATGCTTTCTGCATGTGGGATTTTGAGAATTTTCAGAGGTGGGTGGATTTAAATTTAGTGATGCAATTGAGTTTTGGGTTTCAAATTCTCGAACATACCATTTTGGGGAATTGAAAATGAGTGCACCTGAGGCAATTTGTCGATCCTTTTGATAAAGGAGACATTTGTACTGGTGATTCCGTTTTGTACATTTAAATATCATTATTGAAATTGAAAAAGAAGGTAGATTGCATAGTTTTTTGCTATGCAAAATATATAGTTGGAGCTGAATTTTGATTGTTTTTTTTTGATGGATTACAATTTTCTTGCAGCTGCTGAAGTTGAAGGAGTGTGCAGAGAGTTGTGGAGTGAGAAATGGCGTCGAGCGCGAGTGAGGTGTCTGGAATTGGAAGGTCTTTGGAGGGGATTTCAAGTGGGCAGCTAAGCCGATCTGGGGAATTAATAGCAGAGTGGCGGTCTTCCGAGCAGGTGGAAAATGGAACCCCATCAACTTCTCCTCCTTACTGGGAAACTGACGACGACGACTGTGGTATACTGTTTTCTTATTCAGTCTTCTGTAGTCTATATTTGTGCTTTTCATTTATTGTCACAAAAGATGAGTGGTCACAGTTGTGGCATTTTGCTAATCATTTGACCAATTACTGGGTTTTGATTTTGTTCAGCATCTAGAAGTAATTACAGATCGAATTTACTTTTCAGTTGGGAGTGAAATTCTATACTTAGGATTAGTGAGTACAAAAATATAGTTAATAGAAAGGGGCTGCTAGTAGCCTCCAGATTGGTCCCAGAGTTGCTTGACTTCCAGATAGCTATATAAATATATTGCGTTAGTTATGTTTACACACATAACTGATTTTTTGCATTATTGAGGTACTGTTATTGAAGTCTCTTATTATACAAAAAAAAATCCCTTTCTTGTAGTACTATGGTATCATGTTCAGCCAATGTCCATTGTTCTCATTTATTCATTTGGTGACAAAATTGGGAGACACATCATCCACTGAAATCGTTACAGATGAATGTTGTTACTCAGCCAAGAACATCATCATTTGCAGCTATGATATTGATATTTGTTAGGGGTTATTTCATCCTGAACAAATAATAATATAACATAGAAGTGAATAGATAAATGAACCGACATGAATATAATGGGATTTTGAAAAAAGGACAATCCAAAAGTTTTTTCTTTTTGGGCTTACCAGTTAGTGGCTTATGCAACTAAAATTGCTTTGTATTTGTCCAAACCCTTGTAGCAGTTGAAGTGCATACTTACTACAGCTTCCATCATGTCAAGCAAAAAACAGGGGTGATTCCTCTGAAAAGTTCTCTTTATTGTGGATGAGTTGGTTTACTGTTAACTGATGGATATAGAAAATTGAAGTTTGGAAAAGTATCCTGTAGCTAGCTGTTCACCTGAAAAAGATAACAGAGAGTTGTCATCAAATTTTGCATGTTAAACATAAATAAATTTAGATGGAGTTATGTGGTTGCCAAAGGACATCTGCTAGTACTAAATGTCAACGACATGTGGTTTTTAGGATGCAGATGCTTGCCTCAGAAGTAGGAGTGATGGTGTATTGTTTATCAATTTTGTTGTATCTTTAAATGTACATAAAATTAAGATGGACAATATGAGTATTAAAACGTATTCAAGACCTATAAATTTGGTTGTTTATGAGATGCAGAAACTGGACCAGCTGCATTCACTTGTTATCTGGTTTTAATTTTCGATGTGTTTGATGAACTTCAACTTAAGGTAGGAAGTTGTAGAAGTAGAACACAGCAGTTTCCATATTTCTTCAAACCAACTTCTAAATGTTGTTCATTTAGACCAGAAAGCAAAGGAGGTGGATTGACCTGGTCGCTTCTTGCAACACACAAACATCTCCTTACATTTATTTGGCTTGCACATCATTGATTCTTCTGGAGGTTGAACAAAGTCGTGAATGCCATGTTTAAACCATTCGCAAGAGGTATAAGTATCAAGAAATTTGTAGATTGTTTTTCATAGTACTTCCAAAAATTTACTTGATAACCTAAGGTGGCTTTCTTTGTCTGGACCGCTGTTTGGGGTAAGATTCTGACGATTGATAACCTGAGGAAAAGGGGTAATTGTTTAGTTAATTGGTGTTGCCTATGCAAGAATGATGGGGAGTTAGTTGATCATCTCCTTATGCATTGCCCTGTGGCGCATGACTGTTGGAATCTTATTCTTGGGTTGTTCGGCATGCGTTGGGTAATGCCACGATCTACTAAAGAATTGATTCATGTTTGGAGAGGATGTCGTGTGAGAAGGGATGTATGCGATTTTTGGAGAATCGTCCCACATTGCGTACGGTGGTGCATCTGGAATGAGAGAAATAGTGGAATGTTCGAAGGGGTTGAGTCGTCTACGGCAACACTGAAACTTTACATTCTTCGTTCTCTTTTAAATTAGGTGAAGTGGAGTTCTTGCTCCTCTTCTGATGATTTAATTATTTTCTTGGATTCTTTGGGGCCTTAGCCCCGGTTCCACTTTTGTATAAGGGACGCGTTCCCCTTTTGAACGCCTTTTTATTTTATTATTACTTATCAAAAAAAAAAATACTTGAAAAGGTACATGAAGAGATTGCATTGAGAAGTTCACAAATTTAATTGAACCCCATGACTTCAGTTTTGATCCTTATTGGCACCGTGTTTACACTTAATATTGTCTTATTCGCTAAAGGGGAGATATAATTTGATTGTAGCTCCTAGATAGCTGTAGCTAAGCTGGGTTGATTCTAATTGTTTCATTATTAGCTAATGTAATTAGTAATTTGCAGATATCATTTCTTGTTTTGCTGCTCTCTGATTAATTTCACAGATTTCTTTCCCGTCACTTAATTTGTCGGGACTTGTCGGTGGCTGTCAAGTGTGAGAATGTGGGTTTGACTATGAGCAGACACTTGGTGCTGACACCCTGCTGTTAATGCTGATAAGTCATGGTGTTTGTATCCAGTTCACCCTCCCAGCACCTACATCTGCAGCACCAACACTGGGCAATAGCCTTATATATTGCCTACCAATCTACACACACTTGCACAGCTGGAGTGATTGAGGTCTATGTTACCTTGACTCTGGTACGGGTGTTGGGTAGGGTGCTCTTATCTAGAGGTCGGATTCGTCAATCTATTAAATTATAGGATACGAGGACCCGGCTAAAAGTGTGCAATATTTGGACAAGGGTTCTTTCCCTGTATGAGCCATGAGTTATCTAATGAAGATAAAAATAAATAACTATGTCAGCTGTACATTTTGAATGAAAAAAGAGAGGATTAAATGCAGAAAACACCCTTGTATTATAGATTGTGCATATTACGCCCCTCTTGTATCAATTTGGTATATTACTCCAACACATTTGGTCAATTGTTGCAACTTACTACCTTTTGTTAGAGCCGTCAGAAAAGAGCCGTTAAAGTAGTCACATGGCCAGCACGTGAGGTATGCTTTATGTATTAAGACAAAAGCCCCCTTCTGTTCTGAAAATGCCCTTTGTCCATACCCTTCTAACTATCACCTTCTCTTGCAATTTCTCCATCTCTTCTATAAATGCACACGTGTATATATATACACATTTATCATATGTATCTCTTATCATATGTATCTCTCACTCTATTTCACCTTCTTTGTTCAACGGAGGCCCCATCTCACCCTCTCTCTCGTGCCTGATCTCTCTCTCTCTCTCTCTCTCTCTCTCTCATATATATATATATATATATATATATATATATATATATATATATATATAGCTCTCTTTCTTGAAGGTATTATGATGCAGGACAATTGGGTGAGGAAGAAGAGAGAGAAACAGGGAGAACAAAAAGAATAGAGGGGGATGAAATCTCAAGAATAATCTCAGTAATAATTCATGAAAAGTACCCATAATTATAGGCACAACAATAGACTCTAATAGGAAACATAAAACCCTAATAAAAGTTGTCTCAATCAATTGAGACGGAGCTTCGATCGATCAGGGGTCCTAACTGCAGAATCCAAGTTGAATTGAAAAATTGAGTTTTGACCTGATCTAGACACTTTTCAAGAAACATTGAGTTTTGACCTGATCTAAACACTTTTCAAGAATGATTATAAATACACAAGATCTCTTAAAACCCTAGTGAGATTTTTCAACAAATTTCACATATTTTTGAAATGCAGAAACACTATTTTGTTTTTTAGGGTTAAATACATTGACCTCCTCTGAGGTTTGGCCTAATTACCCTCAGCTGAACGTTTTCAAAATTTTTCAATGGCCTCCCCTCGTAAGTATGGATGTTAATTTTTAGAGTGAAATTTTCTTTATACCCCCAAATATTATAGCATAAAAAGACTAAAATATCTCTTATAGTGAAAGGCTAAATTGGCCAATTTTATAAAACGAATACCTAAGGGTTTTCTGTTACCTCCGATGGCCACCCCTCTTCGCCCCTCGCTCTCTGCACCCACCATCACCGCCACAACCACCATCCCTCTTATCTTTCTTCTTCCTCTCTCCATTCTCTCTCTCCACTCCACACAATGTCACGGCCACCCCCACCGTCTCTCTCCATCACCCACCGTCGCAGCCACCGCCGCCGCCGCTCTCTCCTGTCCACCTCATCTTCTCCATCCACCACCACCGCAACCTCACCCAACCACCAGAGACCCTAACACTAAATCTAATCAAGTAACTCTTAAACCTTTCTTTTACATCCATGGACATCCCCTCAATTATCTCTCCAGCTGAAACTCAAACACCTGTTGTTGCGGGTGCCTATTGTTTCGGTTTTAATGAAAGATTTGGGATAGATTATTGAATGGGAATTGAAAGACATATATATATATATATATATATATATATATATATATATATATATTCATAATTGGTGATGTATTAGAAAAAAACAAACAATACAGGTTCACAAAGGGCATCCCACCAGTCAAGACATATCAGTTAAAGTGGACATCTCATATTGAGAAAGCCCACTTCCAACAAACCAAAAAGGTAAAAACATGATGCCTACACCAGGAAATTAGATAGTGATACATGATGGACATCTAATACTTCAAATAACATGTTCCTAGCTACCACTTCTGGAGATGTATCAGCAGTCCCATGAAGTCGTGCATTCCTCTCTTGCCATATACCCCATAATAGAGCCACAAAGTAGCTTCGAATGATCTTGGAATTGTGCTGCTGCTGCCAAAACCAGGAGTACCAGTCCCCTAGCTGAGTTCCATCACCAAAAGTAGACAAATCCATAGTTGTTAAAGGTGCGCCTAGGCTCCAAAAAAGCCCCAGGCTCATCAAGGCTCAGCTCGAGCGCCTCAACCTACTACAGGCCAGGCCCCTTCAATCAGGCTCACATAAAGCCCTCAGGCTCACGCTTTTTAGTAGGCTCCAGGCTCAAAAAAGTCGTGCGTTCTATTTTTTAATCATTTATTCATATCACTTTCTTTTTTACTTATTGACCACTAAATTAAAGGGTTCTATATCATATACCGTACTGTTTAACCGTATGAAATATT